CCTAATCGGGATTACTCAAATGAGATTATTAATTTATCGAGGTTCCACTGTATCTATTTTCAGTTTGTGAATGTAAATCAATATCAAGACCAATTTAAAAATAAATAAATAATAATTAGCTACTCTCTACTACACTATAAATTTGAGTTATGATAATTAAATAAAGTTGATTCATGATGCAGGTGAACATAAGTTTGGATTCTAATGGAAACTGCCAAAAATGTGGAGTAAAAGATTTGAACCAATGGAACAAACCTTCAGATTTTCCGGTCATCAATCAAGAATATTCCGGCACCGAAAACACATACATTTACGCCGCGACTTCGTCCGGTTCACGCAGAGCACTGCCACATTTCCCGTTTGACACGGTGGTGAAACTAAACACCGCCGACAAATCCACACAAACTTGGTCCACCGGCAAACGGAGATTCATCGGAGAGCCAATTTTCATCTCTAAAGGCACTAAAGGGGAAGATGACGGTTATCTCCTCGTAGTGGAAGTGAGTAACAATATTGAATTTTTTCTTCTTTCCTCTTTTCGACCACAAGGGCATCTCGTCACTAGCAAAAATGAACATAATTTTGTTTAAACAAAGTAAAATGACTTGTTAGTTCAATACTCGTTTGATATAAGATTCGATAATTCTAATTCGATAATTCGATAACTATCTGATAGTCGACTTACATGAATCGCGCAGTCTGCATATTTTGTCAACCGTATCTTTTACGAAATATTGATAAATACTTTGATTATTGCAGTATGCCGTGTCAACGCAGAGGTGTTATCTCGTGGTTTTGGATTCGAAATCGATCGGAAAGAAGAATAGTGTAGTGGCAAGATTTGAAGTACCTAGGCATTTGAATTTCCCTCTTGGATTTCATGGATTTTGGGCTCCGGATAAAGTGTGCAATTCTTCTGTAATTACTAGCCAAGTTTCAAGGCCTAATCACGCGTTTGCTTTCTCTTCTGCAAGTGATAGATTATAAGCCGGATTATATATTATTGATATCTTTAGGACATAATATTTAGCAATAATTTTGATTTCATAGTATCAAGGGGTATACACGTGTCACACCTTAAAGGTATTTATGTAAATACTAGTTTTCTTTGTTCTTTCTCGAGTTATTCACTTTCTCTCAAGTTGTCCTCGATTTCGAAGGTTCATTATTATCTTTTAATTTTCTTTTTGGGAAAATTCGTAATCCAATCATCATTGAATTCTCAAATTTGACCGTCCTTGTGAGTTGTCACACTGCTTATCTCAAAGTGGAGAGCAAATACAGTCGAACCTCGATAAATTAATAGTCTCGTTTGAATAATAATTTCTTTCGGTATCGACTCGGTAAAAAATGTAATGAACTAGTAGTTCGAGACATGCAAAATTACATGCTGAAATATTAAATTTAGTGTATATTTAAAAAAATATCGGACTGACTTAACCTATATTCTAAATTCAGATTTTTATTTTGATTTTATTTAATTTTGATTTTAGATTTAAATCCTCTATAGTAAATATTTTAATTTTACTATTGGATTGTGTCTTCACTAAATACTTAGGCCCGAGGCTGTGACAATATAAGCAAGCCCATATAGTGTATCTGGGCCCAAATATGGATAATCCAGAAATAATAAATTATTATTATCATTATATGGGTAAATTACACATATACCCCTAAAGTATGCTAAAATAACTTTAATGTCCCTATAGTATTGACAATTACAATCCACACCCCTGAAACAATTACCGTAGTCGAAATCTCATGTCTTGGGGACCGACATGCACAAATTTGTTTCCCACGGTGCCGTTAATACTATCATAAACGAAAATTTATAATTCTTACATAAAATAATAAGATTTAAGAAGTGTTAGAAGAACCATGTCACCCCATAATTCTACGTCGTCTCCACTACTGTCTGAAACTAATAGTCGGTTAAAACTCTAACGGAATAACTTATCCAGTACATTATTCTGTTAGTGTTTTTAACAATGTTTTAGGAGGATAATTGTAATTACTGATACTACAGGGACTTAAAAATTGTTTTAGCATACCTTCCTCAGGGGTGTAGGTGTAATTTACCCTTTATTAAACTCACAAAGCGCTTTCCGACATATATAAACCCTCTCTCTAAACCTTGAATCGGAAATTATCCAATTTCCCCCAAATTTCAAAACCGTCTTCCCCCCAACTATCAAAACCCTGCGTCGATTTCACGCCCCGCCCCGCCCCGCCCCCCACCTCATCAGAAGAAGCCTATCTCCGCCGCTGCTACATCCATGGCCGGCACCGGTTTTTCATTCTCCAGTAACTCCGCCGCATCGTCTTCTTCGTTCTCATTTGGCTTCTCTAACCCTAGCTCCACCTCCTCCGCCCCTTCTTTCGGCTTCGGTTCGGGAGCAGCTCCGGCCAACACCACCACCGCATTTGGCGGTTCCATGTTCGGTTCCTCCGGTACGGCGTCGTCCGCCTCCACGTCGCCGTTCGGCGCCCCCTCTCTATTCGGTTCCTCCGCGGCTCCGACTTCCAGTCTATTTGGTTCCTCCTCCGCGGGCGCGGCTCCGAGTTCCGGTTTATTTGGTTCCTCCTCTGCGGGCGCCGCTCCGACTTCTGGTCTATTTGGTTCCTCCCCTGCCGCTGGGGCTCCGACTTCTAGTCTATTTGGATCGTCTTCGGGTGCGGCTCCGACTTCTAGTCTATTCGGATCGTCTTCGAGTGCGGCTCCGACTTCTAGTCTATTCGGATCGTCTTCGGGTACGGCTCCCACTCAAAACCTATTTGGATCCTCCACCTCTGCTGCACCACCTGCTTCCAACCTTTTCGGATCCGGCTCAGGTCCTGCTCTCAGCATGTTTGGGTCATCTTCCGGCGGAGCTCCTACTTCCAGTTTGTTTGGATCCTCGTCGGGTGCGGGCCAAACACCCAGCCCATTCGGCTCCACCCCTTCAACCGTCGCCCCATCATCTCCTTCTCCATCTCCATTCGCCACCTCAACCCAATTCGGGTCCCCTGCCCCTGGTTCCTCAAACCTATTCGGCTCAAATGCTCCAACCCCAAGCCTCTTCGGTACATCTTCAGCAGCTTCTGCGAGCGGTACTAGTTCATCTTTCTTCGGTTCAGGTCCGGCCACACCGTCCAGTCTATTTGGATCGACAACACCAGCCTCCACCCCAACCACCACCGCACCGGGGTCGGGTTTGACCCAAAACACAGGTATATTCGGATCATCAACTTCAGCACCATCTGCTGCTCCGGCTGCATCGTTATTCGGGTCGGGTTCCGCCCCAGTCTCGGGCATTTTTGGATCCTCCGCATCCTCGTCCGCTGCATCAACTCCGGGTTTTCTGGGGTCTTCCTCACCGTTTGGGGCATCTTCAGCTGCTCCACTGTTCGGTTCCTCGTCTAGCTCCACATCAGCATCTTTTGGATTCTCCTTGCCCAGCACTACTTCAAGTTCAGCTCCTTCAGCACCCGGATTCTCATTCCCCGGTGTCTCAAATGCAACAACAACTTCTGCCCCTGGATTTTCGTTTCCCACATCATCAGCTTCGTCAGCACCTGCATTTTCTACGTCTACCGGGTTTTCATTTCCGAAGAGCACAAGTAGTTCTGCCGCTTCAGTGACTCCATCACCTGCTTTGTCTTCACCTCTCTCAAGTGCACCCAATTCGAAATCGGTGACTTTTGGCACCACACCTTCTGCTCTGTTTTCGACAGTTACAACTACTACAACCAGCAATGCTTCAGCTCCGTCTGCAGCGGCTGGTACCAATGCTGTCTCCGGGTTGACCTTTCCGGCTTCTAGCGGTACATCTTCTACAGTGTCTCCAGCATTGGGGACCAGTGCATCTGCTCCAACTTCAAGTTTTACTGGCTTTGGTACAACTACTACATCTGCATCATCCTCTGGAAACACGAGTTCTTTCTCGCTGAACTTGAAATCACCCACAGCTGCAGCCACCTCAACAGCACAAGCACAATCAACTGCTGCCCTGCCTTCTTTTGGTAGGTTCTTATTCCTTATTTCATATTCTCATGAATGTGTTCACAATCTATTATTTTTTTTTTGTTTATCTGCTGCATGCACACTTATGTTGATCAAACTAATTGAAAAAGTATCATGGAGATGTGTAATTACCGTTTACTAGGAGTTATATTTCTCATGATGCAAATTGCATTATTTCCTTTTGAGTGATATGTATGATCACTGGCGTCTCATTGAAATAAGACAATTTGTCCTTCAGCTTGTGTATACCAATTTAATTTTTGTGTAGATAGGCAAAGAGATTGTTAGGTTTGTCCGGTGCAGTATCTGTTGATTAATCATAGAGTAGACTGGGAGTAGGTCATGTTTTGCAGGAATTCTTGTTGATAAATGATGATGTAATCGTTTTTTTGTCTTCTGAGTATGCATGTGGTTACTCTAGTTAAGTTGGCGAAAACTTCTATTTAGCAGATGTTACAGGTTTTGGATTGGATTTGGTTTGATTGTTTCTTCGGTTATGTTTTGGTGTGGAACTGTGGATGGGCAGAAAGTGTTCATTCTAAATCCTGCAAGTTGCTGCTAATTCTTGTAGCTGGCTTTGCTTGTACTCTTAATTATCCATGTGCTCATTCTAAAAATAAGTAGAATCCCGGAAATGTATTCGGGTATAAAATTGAGTTGAAGTTTCTGTAAAATCATTTCAGGAAACATACTCTCTCTTGATGGGTGTTGTTCCAAATCTTCTTCAATTCACCTTGGGGTAGGATTAGATGGTTATGGGTTTTGGAGTGAGGGTGAGCACATGAGCGAGAGTTACAAAATGACGACGGATCAAAAGGCTGAGATTGACATTTTGCAGTCAAAATTACATGAGGGTTTTGAAGACGAGGATGAGAAAGGGGACAACATGAGCAAGGGAGATGATGTTGTGGATGGTGCTTCTGTCTGTTCTTTTTCTTCATGTGAAGACTCTAAACAATTGGATTCGTCTCTCCAGAACACTCTATCTCCCGGGAGAGATAACCTCATTAAGCAAATATTAAGAAAATATGGCGACATCACAAAAGGGAGCATACTCAAGAGTATAGAGGCTAAGAAAGCTTTTCTTCAGCTGGTGGTAGAAGTTGTTGAACGACTTCATAGCCACACTTTAGACACTCTCGGTGCCCATGAAATGCATGTCATACAGAAGTTGACGGATGATGCAGCTACTGTTGGCTTTCATGTGGATTGGTTGCAACAGAGGATTAAAAAGATAGTCTCGATCTCCAAATACCGAGACAGTTTGATGCAGTTGAACGATATAAGTGAGAAAATCAATGCTGCCAAGATAGCTCTGTTGGAGATGGAGCTTCAGCATATGATTTTGAAGAAAGAGATCGATTCAATGAAGGCTGAAATGGATATGGAGGAGTTATGTGTATCTAATTTATGTGTGGGGCTCTTATGATGAATTTTGCCGAGGAAGTTAAACTAGTTAGCTATTTGATCGTGTCCCTCTTCAGTCCCTTGTAGTAGTATATCAGTGTTTATACTTTTAGTTGGGATGGGAAGATTCGTACTCTAATTACAATGAAATGTGTTGTAATAGAAATACATAACTTCTGCACAATAGAAATATCAAGTCCATTCATGCTTTATCTTTAGCTGTTTGTTTAACATCAAATTTTGCACGCTCTTTATTCAATGGGTGCATGTTTAGACAGATACTCCTTGTCTGAACAACATAACTTCTTCGATCCCTATGTCGTTTTCTTGCCATATTTTCAGTTGTCTTGGACCGGTAACAAGGTGTATGTATGCACATAAAGTTTTCTTTTCATATTTCCACTTGGAAGGTGTTATATTCTCATTCTTCCTTTGTTGGTATCGTTGACGAATTACTTTGCTAAAATGTATGTAGGTACAACTGCGGGTTCCACAAGTGCAGTGACTTCAAGTACTACTTCTGCTGCTCAAACATCATCGTCCCTGGTTGTAGCTTCCAGTAGTGGGTATGTATATCTTGTATTCGTTGGTTTTATTAGTAGAGTAAATACTTACGTCAAATGAATAAACTAAAAGATGGCGTTTCTTGTCTCAGAAACATTTGAGAATTGTCTTATACTCGTACTGATTCTTTGCATGGTTGCACTTGTCTTGTAGGACTACTTCGATAACCACTGCAGCTTTAGCCTCTACGCCGAAGTTACCATCTGAAATCACTGGGAGAACAGTTGAGGAGGTAACCGAAATTGTTGTCGACTTATCAATTGCTTATGTTGATTTTCACAGTTTTCTTATTGTCTACATCTCCATTCATTTTACCACTGTTGATGACCAAAATACCATTGCCTATATACGGTGTTACTTACAAGTAAATTGATTGCTGAATGTTGTTGTAGATTATCAAGGAATGGAATGCTGAACTACAGGAGCGTACTGGGAAATTTCGGAAACAAGCTAATGCTATAGCTGAGTGGGATCGCAGAATTTTGCAAAACCGTGATATTCTTCTCAGGCTTGAGGTAGTTCAACATTTTCCATGGCAGAAACCACGCCATTGTTTTTTCGTTTTTGTGGTTCTTTTCGTACATATTCATCCTTCCCAAAGAAAGACATCATGAAAAAAGGAAATCAAACTATTTATACTTTGGCCTATTTGAATCTTAGGTTTTATAACTGAAGCTTATAGAATAATTATGTCTCCCCGAAACTTATTGCGGTCCATGTTTTTTCTGGTTGACTCTCACAATGCTCAAAATTATTGTCAGAGCGAAGTTGCAAAAGTGGTCGAGACACAAGGTAGTTTGGAGCGAGAGCTGGAGCTAATTGAAACTCATCAAGATGAGGTAGTGAATCTTATTTCCGCTACATTTATCAAATTATAATCTCTCTGCATGCGCGACATTTATAATTTTTTTTTTCCACCTATGTGTTACAAGGTTGATAAAGCTTTGCAAAGTATAGAGGAAGAAGCCGAACGAATATACAGAAAGGAGCGTGGAGTACTTCTTGAAGACGATGCTGCGTCCACACGAGATGCAATGTGAGTACACGACTGATCTACAATTTTCATGCAATGACCTTTTGAATTACTTGACATACTATTATTATTATTATTATTATTATTGAATTTTCTTTTTCGTGTTCTAATTTCAGGTATGAACAGTCTGAGTTAATCGAACGGGAACTGGAGCAGATGACCGAACAGATCAAATCGATTATCAATACTCTTAATTCCACTCAGGTAAGTACCACCTCATTTTATTTATTTATTTTTTGGAAAAATAAAATTTATTCGTTTAAATCGGGCAGAAAGGCCTTGACACTTTCCTAAAATGAGAAGTTGGTAATCGAAAAAAGTATTGTTAAATTAGGGTGGAGAGCTTGAGGCAACCGATGCAATGAATCCGCTGGATGTTGTGGTTAGAATCTTGAACAATCAATTGAGTTCGTTGATGTGGATCGATGAGAAGGTTAGGCTCCAAACTAAATTCTTTTTCACTCGATTATTTCCTATGAAATATTATTTACTGTTTAGCATTATTCTCACAGGTTTGTAATGTTTGATAAGTACATCTGCTAAGTTGTGCACATTTTTTACAGGCTGAAGAATTCTCTTCGCGTATTCAGAAGCTTGCAAGCCAAGGTTCTACAGCGGATCGTGAATTGACCGGCCCGAAGCTTTGGTTGACCTGAATTTTCGAGGATTTTTAACGTTGATGTCGAGATGCGTTGTTATTAGATTTTTTTATATTTTTTTTCCCTTTCTGTTGTGGTTCGATTTTGTATGAATTTGTTTAGGCGGTATTTCGATTTAAGGAAGATGAAAGAGTTAGGATTTCAAATGATTTTAGTCTTGAAAGATTTGAGAACTGTCTTAATAGAATTTTGTAAAAATAAATGGGCATTAAAAAACTTTGAAGCTTAATAACATTTAAAAACTAATTTTATAAATAAAACAAATTGGATCACGATTAATAAATGCGTTAATTTAAACTTAAATATGACGTTAAAGTTTCCAAATATAATATAACTTTACTGTGGATTAATATTGATTTGAATATACAGTTACTGTGCGAATGATTTTTTTACCATATATATATATTTAGTATTAATGTGGATATTTCGCCTACTCCCAAAAAGAGCGATCGCCTACTTTGTT